TGATGCTTAATATGAAAGCCTCCCCGGAGGCCCGGACGACGTCGTTTTCATCATCATCGCCGTCCCGCTCAATCGTTACAGCGGAGAAAGCTTTCTCGTTCATCTCCAAAGGATGGAGCGAGGTCCGCTTCTCCGCAGGTGCCGACCTCCAAATGATTAAGAACCGGGCGAATTCCTTTAAAAATCGCGCCGACAGGGAGTTGTAGAATTTTTTGAACTCGGCCTCCAGATCGCCCTTCGCTGTCCCTACAATTATGGCCTCTGCTACTACCACGCCTGCGGAGATCGACTTTGTCTAGAAGCTTCGGCCAGATCGCAGCTAGGGGAAGGGGAGGATGGCGGGGGAGGGGAGGAGAAGGGGAGTGGGGAGGAGAGGGTGAGGGAGAAGAGGGGTGGCGGGGGAGGGAGAGGGGAAGAGAAAAAAAGAAAAAAAAAAAAAAAAAAAACTTTGCTGTGAGTTGCGGCCATGGAAGTCTCGGGAGATGGAAGGGGAAGGGAGAAGAAGCGGGAAGGAAGGAAGGAAAAGAAAAAAGAAAGAAAGAAAAAAATGAAAAAGAAAATGAAAGAAAGAAAATGAAAAGGAAAAAAAATTTCATCTTACAAAAAATTTTTCTACAACTTCTAAAAAAAGTTTTTTCATCTTACAAATTTTTCTACTATTTCTACAATGATCTACAGTAAAGTTTTATATAAACACAAAAAAAACTCACCTTTCAAACAGGCCCGAGAAAAAGTAGAGAACTTTCCAGGAAATTTAGGTACGCTCGCTTATTTTATCAATATGACCTATAGCAAAGGACTTTCCGAGAAATCTTTGGTACTCTCACATATGTTATCAATATGACCTTGATAGACAGACAATAAGGGAACTATCGAGAAAAGGTAAAGAACTTTCCAAGGAGTTTAGGTACTCTCACTTATTGTATTAATATGACCTTGATAAACAGATATAATAAGAGGGCACAAACAATAGACACGGCCAATCCTTCGGTAAACTAGGCAACTTCAGAAGAGTAATTAACAACTTTAGTGTACGCTTCTGAAGAGTGAGCCCCCGAAACAAAAATTTAAGGCATGTGGCGTCCTGAATTTTGAGTGTCGATTTGGACCAACGTCCATGAACGGTAGACGTTATACACTTTTGTTAAGAATATTACTCCCTCCGTCCCAATTTGATAGTCCTGTTTTTCTTTTTCGTCTGTCCCAAATTATAGTCCACTTTTCAATTAAAAAATGTAGTTGTATTTTAATTTTTCTAAAATACCCTTATTCAATGTAAGTTATTGTTACTATAAATCTACCCTATTTAACGAGAGTTGATTCTTTTTTTACCATCAATTTCAAGTTCCCATAAAGTTGTACTCTAATTAATGTGAGGATATTGTAGGAAAATAGTTACCTAAATTGATTGTTCCAACAAAATTAACTACTTTTTCTTAATCTGTGTGAAAAAAAAATTAGGACTATCAAAGTGGGATGGAGGGAGTACAAAATTCATTTTTCAAGTGCCTATGAATTCAGAACTTCTTTACAAGAATGATAATACTGTAAGACAATTCCTCTTGCCAATAGTTCGATCCTATACATTTGCAATAATTTTTTTATTAGTAGTAAAATTAGATGCATGTCCTCTACTTTTATGTGTTATCCAATAAAGTAAAATTCTTATATTATTAATTTCAGAAAAAAAATTATGTTATTTTTATTGAGCTTTGATTAAGTTCAAAATAGGGTTCGAGATCCACTTTGACATTGAGAACTCCTTAAAATTGGATTCAGATATGTGAGGACCCGTAAATTTTTCTTATTTTATTTTATTTTATTTTCTCTCATGCATTTTCTTCACTATACCCTATGATATTGCTTTTTCTAGAGATTTTATAAGTGAATAGAGTTTTTAAATCATTTTCCTGATATAAGTTAATTCATATTAAGTTTGGAGCGTATATTGGATGTGGGACCCGCTAGTGCGTTAAGTGAGAGAAATTTAGCCAATTAGGTTAAGTTTTGCACAAAGGGATTAAATTACTAGGTGTTAGGAGATAATTAGAGATTACCTAGATGGATTAACCATGGGGAGACAAGAAGATAACTTTAAAGCATAAAAGGTGCCACGTGTCCTTTTCTTATTCGAAGTTGGACTTGCCTAACTTTCTTACCTTTACTAAAAACTTCAATTTTGACCAAGAAACCATCTTCATTTCCAACCTCTTGACCGAACCTCTCCTTGAGAGAAAAGAAAAGAAAGCTTCAACTACTTCTTCCATTTCTTGCTTCAATCTTGAAATCCAACCGATTAACTCTTGAATGTGTCCACCAAAGTGACTTGCTAAGAGAGTTTGAAGGTCTTGGTGGAGTTGTTTTGGAGGAGAAACCCTTAAACTACTACCTTTCTTGAGGAATTAAGGTATTTTGCTTGGAACTCACTCTTTGTTCCTAATAATGGTAAATTAGTGATTTATGGTGGTTAAATAGGTTGTTTAATGGAAGATTTTGTGGTTTGAGGTAGAGTTAGTTAAATTTCAGATTTTATTGGTGATTTTTCTGATTTTATATGATCATTAGTGGTTGGCCATGAATGATGGCTTGATATGGTGTAAAATGAAGCTTTTATATGTTAGTTGTAATTGGTTGCGAAAAATTTCAGTTTTATGCGGAAATTTCAGTTTTAGGGTTCCAATCTGCCTTGTTCTGACCGGCTTTATTTGTGCATGTTAAAGGCCGAATCAGGTTTAGATTAAAACATGAAAGTTGTAGCAAATGGTGTTAACTAGTTGCCTGCAAAATTTCAACTCGATTCGAGCACTGTAGCATGTGAAATGACCGAAATACCCTTGATTGCCCATGAACCTGGTTTCGCGGACAGATTTCTGTTTTCGTGGAGATTTTCATTTTTTATCATGAAAATGCATGATTTGGTTTTGGAGGTCTTCATAAGAAATGTAGGTATATGTATTAGTTTCGAAACGTCATAAAATTCGTTTCAATCCGATAAGTGTAGTTTCAGTTGTGATTGTTATGCCGAAAGGTATGTTTATGATTTGTATGTAGAATTGTGGTTGATTTGAGATGAGTTGGTGTTAATTGTAGGATGGAAAAGTAAGCATTTAGGGGAGATGCTGTCCAATTTTCTAGGCCGTTTAGTCCCTTTAAGTTTGAGTTGCCTTTTTGGTAGAAATGAAGGGTTTTTGGGTCGTTCAAGCTCTAGGTCCTTTCGTTACCTTTTCGTTCCAAAATCACGCTTTTGCACCCTTGCATTCGTAGTTAGTTTGGTTAGACTTACGACTCATAGTTGAGTTTCATTTGTGAATGTCGTTCCCATAGGAACCATAATTGTTTACTTTGATCATTTTAGGACGTGCTGGTGATTTAGAAAGTATTTCGGGGGGAAACGTTTGAATTTGTTTTACTTGAACTGGTGAGTGTACCACTCCCTTCATTGTTGCTTAACTTGGTTTCTGTACTTGCAATCTGTGATTTGAATAACTGTACTATCTGTTTATTCTGTTTGAGACGAGAGTGTACCTTATCACACTCGTTCTCTTGTCTGTCTGTATGCCTATTTACTGTGTGAATTTGAATCTGTTATCTATATCTGTATCTGTTCTGACGTCGTTTGGAGGCTTGTATCCAACGACCTTTCTGTGACCTCTGAGCTCAAATCCTGTGGCTAAGTTACTCGAGTCAAGCCGGCAAGGGTCAGGTCGATTAGATAACGAACCGTGGTAGTCTGTTTTTAGGAATTTTTGGGTATTGAGACTCTTGATTCCGGTATACTCGAGTATTACCACTTCTGTTTCTGTTGAGGTGTTCGGACCTGGTAAGGGGTAAGTTTGATGGACGGAATTTGGTGTAAAGTGTGGGTCACGGATATGGTTGTTCTTCATACGTTGACGGAGAGTTAACGGGTTTGTATCAATTACGGCAACAGGAAATTTTGGGCTCATGAGAGCCACCCGTATCCTTTCTATCTATGGTGTTTGTTCATTTTTTTATTTGAGTTGCATATGTGACTAATTGAATATGAAGTTCCATGGTTCTTAATTGCTATTATTTTGGTACCTCATTGAGCGTAAACTCACCCCCTTCCCGTTATCTTTATTTTCCTTACAGGGAACCACACTTTGAACCGTGATTTTGAGAAAAGGGTTGAGCTAGTGTAAACGTTCTTTTGTTAGCTCTTATGTAATCAAAACCCTAATTGTCTTTTAATTAAGTATTACGCTTTTAATTGTAAAGTTTTCAATGTATGTATATAAGTGTTTTATCATGTACATTAAGTGTATTCATTTGATATGGTACATCTGCGTTTGTTGAGATGCTACTTGTAACCATTGGACGATCGGATGGGCGCGGCATTTGACCAAGGAAAGAAAATTCTGGTGGGAACTGTTCACCAAATCCGACCGTATCTTGGTCGGATTGTGATTTGTCCACTTTCCATTTGCATTTTCGTCTTCATTTTTGTTTCCGTTGAGGCGTTTAATCGAAGTACCCTGGTACCCTACGGTGTAGAACTCATGTGTCTCAACTTAGTATTTTTCGATTGATTGTTCTCTTGGGGATTCGTTTGTGCGCTATATAGGGTTTGTGAGATTCGACTCCGTAGTTTTGGCGAGAGTTGGGCAGGCGGTCCGCCGAACCCTTTGGTTTGTCTTAGGGGGAGGTAGGGCTGTCACAAGATCAGCTTAATTAAATCAAAATTCAACTCAATTCGACTAGCTTGCAACAGAGTTTGGCAGAGTTTCATGAGATAGAAAGTAGTGACTTCCGCGGTGATTTCTATCATTCTATTCCCTGCCCTTCTCTTGAACAATATCGCCATGGTCACACTGACCAAATTTCAATTATCCATTACGCCAACAATTACATTGGACCGTAAAACATTGGATTTCCGTATATCCCAGCCCAAGTAATGGAAATTTCATTTTCTTGAATTTCTCTTGGGCCCGTCCTACCCTTTTTGGGCCCATCTTCAACAATAAACCTTTACCAGAGACTGAGCTAGGGTTTTTCTTATAGTTCTCCTTCTCTCTTCTTCTTCTTCCACCTGCTCTTTCTCGGTGAAATAGAAAACTTCTCAGTAAGCTCCGATTTGGATCAAAGTCATGGTGGGTTTTGAAGTCGGAGCGGTTCCGTTCAATCCTGACGGTTGGGGTCCGCCCGATTCCTCCACCGCCAATTCCATTTCCGTCCCAAACCACCCATCCAATGTCCCCTTCGCCCCGTTTTCCCGGTCTGACAAGCTCGGTCGAATCGCCGACTGGACCCGAGCTATTTCCAACCCGAATCGTCCTGGATCTAATCCATCCAACAAAAACGTTTCCGACTCTGCCTTTGATTTCACCGGCGACGACTCTTTTGCAACCTTAGCCGCCGACGAGGACTCCTCTTTCCGTTTAGTTGACAATGCCGCCTCGAAATCCCACCACGGCCACCATCAGAACCGCCCCAAATTCAACCCCAGGTGGCGTTTCAACCCCCACCACCACCGCTCTCAGCTACCCCAGCGGCGTGACGAAGAGGTCGAAGCCCGAAAACGCGAAGCCGAGAAGGAACGAGCTCGTAGAGACCGTCTTTACAACCTCAATCGCTCTTCCACCAACGCCGGACCTCGCCGCGAGTCTGCCGTCTTCAAATCATCCGTCGATATCCAGCCGGAGTGGAATATGCTCGATCAAATCCCCTTCTCCACTTTCTCTAAGCTCTCCTTCTCCGTACCCGAGCCGGAAGACCTCCTTATATGCGGTGGGCTCGAATTTTATGACCGGTCCTACGATCGAATTACCCCCAGAAACGAACGCCGTCTGGAGCGCTTCAAGAATCGCAATTTCTTCAAGGTGACAACCACTGATGACCCTGTAATCCGCCGCCTGGCCAACGAGGATAAAGCTACAGTTTTTGCAACAGATACGATATTGTCAAGTTTAATGTGCGCTCCCAGGTCAGTTTATTCATGGGATATTGTGATTCAACGCGTTGGGAATAAGTTATTTTTTGATAAGCGTGATGGATCGCAGTTGGATTTGTTATCTGTGCACGAGACTTCTCAGGAGCCTTTACCTGATGTGAAGGATGATATAAACTCTGCTTATTCATTAAGTGTCGAGGCTGCTTATATAAACCAGAACTTTTCGCAGCAGGTTTTGATTAGGGACGGGAATAAGGTTACTTTTGAGGAGCCGAACCCATTTGCAAACGAAGGAGAGGAAGTGGCCTCTGTGGCTTACAGGTATAGGAGGTGGAAGTTGGATGATGATATGTACTTAGTTGCACGGTGCGAGGTTCAGAGTGTGGTGGAATTGAATAATCAGAGGTCGTTTTTGACTCTAAATGCGTTGAATGAATTTGATCCTAAGTACTCGGGTGTTGATTGGAGGCAGAAGTTGGAGACTCAGAGGGGTGCTGTTTTGGCCACTGAATTGAAGAACAATGCCAATAAGTTGGCTAAATGGACTGCTCAGGCGCTTTTGGGTAGTGCCGATATGATGAAATTGGGGTATGTTTCTAGGGTTCATCCAAGGGATCATTTTAACCATGTGATATTGGCTGTTGTTGGATATAAACCGAGGGAGTTTGCCTCTCAGATTAATTTGAATACCTCTAATATGTGGGGCATCGTGAAGAGTATCGTGGACTTGTGTATGAAGTTGAATGAAGGGAAGTATGTGCTTGTTAAGGACCCATCCAAGCCACAAGTGAGGATTTATGAGGTCCCACCTGATGCATTTGAGAATGACTATGTGGAGGAGCCGTTGCCAGAGGAGGAGCAGGTTCAGCCTCCTGCAGAGGATGCTGAAGGTGGGGAGGCGAATGCTACGGCTAATGATGTGGAGGACAAGGATGTCAGTGCTGAACCGGTAGCAGCTTGAATGGTACTTTTACTAGTAGACATGAATAGTTGCATTTGGTTATGTTTATTGCTTCTTCCTAGTGAGAGCATATTGATTCAAGAAGTTGATTTACCCTTTGATGCTGTTCTATTTCATCTTGTTAGTTTTTTTTCTTACAAAACTATGCATCAAGTCCTTTTCCAGTGGCTGATATACCATTACCCTGTAAGTATGTTATGGTTTTCTATAATACTGGGAAGGTTTCTCTTAGAATTGAATTGGATATGATATGAGAATGTATTCTTTGGCTGTGGAATTGAATCCTTTCAGAGATGATATATTTTTATTCTTGGTCAAATTAAGTGTGGCCTTTCTGTGGCATTGATTTACTTAATTGTATAACAAAGATTATCGGTTGGTTTGCAAATGATTTGTGGAGGTGTTATTATCCTGTGAAATGGGTGGTAATCTTGGATTTGGTGGTCACTAGCTGAAGTCCTTAAATAGCTGAGTTGACCTCTTTTATATATTTGTTCTTGTTGTTTCCAGCAAGAAAGAGATAAGGAAGAGATAGGATTACCTTTCATTTTCTGTTCTATGCAATAAAGTCATATTAGGCTCTGAGTCTTCAGAAACTAGCCTCTTACCTGGACCTTGAATGTGCTTTATCTTGTTCTGCTTGATGTTTCATCTGAGATTAACAAATGTTCTTTTGGCTGCTTATACAATCTTCTAAGTATGATGTATGTGAACATGTATGATTGTTCTTCAATTGTATTAGAAAAAATCTATGTGGGCATGGATGATCTAGGTTAAATGTTTGTGTGTGTGTGTGTGTAGCATAGGCAGCTGTTTGGTGTTTGTACGGCCTAGTTCATTAGCTTTTGCATGGACCCTGATTTACATGTCAAAAAGATATAAACCATCTGATCATCGCAACTTGGACATAGTCTCGTATTTGGTGAAACTATTAAGCAGGTAATTGGAGTTGATCCTAAATGCTCCAGTTATAGTATTCTTGTTGGTTCTTTTAATCTTGTTTTCTGATGAAGTTCCTTTCTTGTCACTAAAGCTTGCAACTCTACATGAAGTTTTGATTTCCTAACGTGCTAGCAAAATTTCTTGTGACATTTGGTTCCATGTCTTGGTGAACGGCAATACAACCACCCTCTCTCTCTCTCTCTCTTTCTGTGGATTGCCCTGGTAGATTATGTCGTGGGCCTTGTGGCTTTGTCAGCTTGTTTTAACTAGTTAAATAAGTTTATGCACAATCATATGGAGTAGTAGATCGGTCTTATATGGAGGTATGATACCGCTATTTATGTTGTATTTGCAAAAGATTTTGAATGTTGTGCTTGCAGATCTTACTGCTGTGAATGACCATGCTTTTGAAGGACAAAATTTCATCCACCTTTCATATGAACATACTATGATCTTCTTTAGTTTCCTCCTTGAATTTTGTACCATCTTGTTAATAGTTCAGGGTAGTTCTTGTTGATTTATCTACTTGTGTTGCATGTTTTCATGGCTGAGTTGGATGATGTATTTCTTCCTTTGTTGTCCCTTTTGCAGGTTAGAAGCTAAGATAATGGTTCTAGAAGCTAATTCCAGGATTAATCTAGCCTCAGCTGTACTTGCTTTACGTGTCTAAAAGTTGTTGATAATGGTTCTAGAAGCTAATTCCGGGATTATTATAGCCTCAGCTGTACTTGCTTTACATGTTCAAAGGTGGTTGATCCCCTTTCTTTTTTTTTTTTTTTAAAAAAAGTCAACTGTATCGTTTGAGTTGTTTGTGGCCATCTTGTGGCTGTGAAAATTTTGCTAGGTTGCTTTAAGGATACTACGACACAATGAGTCAGCAGTTTCAACGGATTTTTCTGTCCATCTATCTCTTCTGATACAAATCTAGAGAAGTTAATTATGTGATTAGTAATAGTATGGAAACTGTTTCACTCATCTGTTGTTTCTCTTGTCAATCAGAGCGTGACCCTGTTGCTTTATGATGATCAAAGATCGAACAGTGCCTGTTGCTTTATGATGATAGATAGATAGATAGAGAACAATTTAGTCTCAAAAAAAAAAAAAAAAAAAAGGGGTTTGGTGTGTCCTCTTTGGGAAAATAGAATTTCAGCGTAGCTACAGGATGGTGTTTTTGACAATGGATGTATCAGAATATATCTCATGCTTTCATAATGCCCGTTGCTAGAGGGTTAAATTTGCTGAAGTATGTAGTCCCCTGTTAGAGAGTTGTATTTGCCTCGAGTATATATTCCAAGTAAGAATCTGAAGCACGGCGATGCAAATATGACAATAATTTGCTTGTTCTGTTTAATTGCGGGGAGCCCCAAACCAACAGCTAATCCCTAGTGTACTCCAAAAAAAAAAATTAATAAATGAGGGCCAACATTTTTTTTTTTTTAATAAAAATGTATCCAACAGCAAAACAGCTACACCTACCGGACTTTTTAGAGGGGTGAGAAAACTTGTAAACGGTACAACGTTCACTGCATGCTAAGATTGGGTAGGAATTTGGAGCAATTTCTTGTGCCATACAACTTCTATTCTTGTGCCATACCTTCTACTTACGCTCGCTCCGCCTGAATCACCTAACCCATTGCCTTGATTCCCGAAGAAGAGCGAAATTTTAGAATTGGACATAAATTTCCCCTCTATAAAAAAGTAAATTACAAATAGCCGGTCAAAGCCTTCTCTTTGCTATTCATCACGGTCAACTCTGGAACTAGCGGCCAAAACTAATTACCAGGACCATTACATATAATCCGATGAAACTAGCGGCCAAAAAAAAAAAAAAAAAAAGGAAAACTTTGAATGGCATCAAGGTTTCTCCGGAACAAAATCCTAGTATCTAGAAAAGTAAATTAACCAATAAGCCCATATTTTCGATGTTCTCTTTAACGTCTTGTTCCATTTCGGAACTGAATCAGAACTATTCATTTCCATCGGGTAAATCTCCGATGTATGAATCAGAATGCAACATAAGAAATAAATGAACCTTGGAAGTGATAAAGTACATGGGTCTGTGCTAGATTAATATGTGATTTCAGGATAATGATTTTAGAAATTGATAATTGATTGGAGTAGTGTTTATTACAGCTGGACGACTTGAATGAATCTAATAAGTTACTACTACTAATTACTGATGAAGTAAGATGTATTAGTAATTGACAACAAAAAGATCCAAATTACTAAAACAGTGGCATCGCTTGGAGCGGGAAAAAGGTTCAGACTTGAAACCAGCGCCGAGACTGTGGTCTTTTTTATCCATTTTTGGCGGCATTTTTTATGTTCGGTTTGATCAAGACTTGCTCAATTGCGTCTGCACTTTTTCTAGGTTTATTACTTCCCCCGTTACCGTTACAAATTATTCGTCGCATTTCAGGGTTTCAACTTTTTTAAAAATATATGATTGACGGTGATGTTAGTAAATTTATTTTCAAAATTATTCTTGAAAATTCAAATTTAGTATGAAATATAAATAAAGGTACATTAAAAATTGATACTCTCAAAAGTAATTTTGAGTTCAATAAGCATTTTGGAATGTATTACTAAAATAGAAAATATGACACTTTTAATACCTCCGACAGTCCGACCGACGGAAGGAGTAACATCCAAAGGAAGAGTATACGCAGGTTCAAGGAACCAACAAATACCAGCTACAAAAGGAACCAACAAATTACACTACATGTCTACTGCGGTGGGAACATTTTTCTGGTCAAAATCCTTTGGCCTTTGATTTCTGGTTTTATTGAACTAATTCAAAATGGAGGCATGAATTTAATTCAGCTTGAAATTTAATGGCAAAAGTAATTGCAGCAGCGTTCACTAATTTTTGACGGTTTCGCAAAATTCTCCTTCCCTTGGATATGGTCAAATACTTTTTCCCGCTGCAGTAATTGAAGGATTAACGAGCGCTAATAGCTAATAAATTAGTTATGGATAACTGCCGATTTATTTCGCCGATTACGTGTATTATACGGTTGACCGAACCTTCTATTCCTTTTCTTTTCCGGTTTGCCATTAGTCCGTGGTTAGTGGCCTGTTGCAGGTTTTTTACCATTTTCGTGTACTAAACGATACACCTTAACTTGTCCACGTATTTGTCACTCGGATATCTTTTCCTCATTTTCTGTTTGTTCTAGAAAAAAAAATTGTTTCAATTCCAAAACTCTAATAATTCAATGTAAAATAAAATGCGAGATAAAGTCCCTCGAGACACAAAACAATTGCTTTTCTTTAGTAGTTTGTAGAGTATTCTTTGCTGCCCGAATTATTTATCGCATTTTTGGATTTCAACTTTTTAAAATTAGTGGCTTGACGGTGATGTTAGTGGATTTATTTTCTAAATTGCCTTTGAAGTTTAAACTTTAGATTTGAATTTAATACGAAATATAAATAAAGGTGAGAATAATATTTAAAAAAATATATCAAAAATAACTTTAATTTTGATAAGATAATATATATATATTTCTGAACAATTCAAAAGTACGAATATATGATAATACTTTGTATCAGCGTATTATTACCTGACTGCCAAAGTACTCTGTACTATCAGTATGCTAAAGTAAATGCAGAAGGTGCTTAGAAATTCAACAGGATTGCAAAAGGAAGCCTGGTTTGCCTAATGATCGGGCTTAGTCGCCAAATACTAGATCACATGGCAGGGCTTGATGGGTTTGTCTTGCTTGATAATCGAAGGGGCGGCCGCGGTGGGAAAATGGGACTATTTTGCCACCTGAGTCCTGAATTGGTACTGTCGATGGCCCCAAGGCCGAAACAAGGAGGCGGACACATTCCATGTGGCATTACATTAGATACCAACAAAAAAAAACCAGCGATCAATCAACCAGCCAACTGCTTTTAATATTGCCCCATGTTTTTCTCCATCACATTAATACTCAACATAGAAATCAGATTTTAAAAAAAGAAAAAAAAAATCAAACTAGCAACAGGGGAGAAAATAATTCAGTGGGCTAGGCTAGCCACTCTCCTCTGATATTTTACGCTTTCTTTTCTCTTGTGCTGAACAACCACTTTTGCTTGCCTATAAAAGCTTTTCTGTTGTAATAACTTTCTAGCAACCTTTCTGTCAAGCATCAAGAAAGTTTTTTGGCTTCAGTATTTCGCAGCAATCTCTCATTACTCTGTGGAGGAAAACCCTCAAGCTATCCAGCAGCTTTTCTCAAATCAATCAATGGCTTCTCTTGTTCTTCTTCTATCCGAACTAATTAGACATGAAAATCCAGACCACCTAATTTCATTGCCCGCTTTTTCTTCTAAAACTACTACTGCTTCTGCTGCCACGGCTAATCCCAGGAACCCAAGTGCTGCAGCATCCACCGCCAAAAGGGATGTCAAGATTTCTTCCAGTACAAGGTCAAGTGATTACGAGGCAGAGCAAATGCAAGATGATCTGCCAAGAGTTTGTGTGGACCTGGTTTGGGCTTAATTGATTAGAAGTCAATTTGCTCTGTTCCTTGGTCTTGATGTTTTCTGTACTCTGTTCTAACTTTCTTTGGGGGATTTTCTTGGATTTGAAGTGTAAACTTTGCCCTGCTATCTGCTGTTTTTTTTTTTTTTTTATTTATAAATTTGTTCTCAAATTTCCTTTGGTTATCAGTGACTGAGGCGAGGAGTTCTCTTTTTGAGTGCAAGAGAAAGAAGACGACAAAGGGAAAAGAACGAGACAAAAAAAAAATGTAGCTTAAAGTCAATAATGCTACATAGGCTTTGTTCAAGCTTGGCTCCTCATTGCTCTAATGGGCTGAATGAGGAAGATTTTATTTCACTGTTCAAACCTGACTCCTTAGTGAAATGAAAGATGCAAAAATCCACCAAAAGAAATTAACCAAAGATCTCAAACAGAATAGTTATCTCATAAATACGGGCATAGATTGTACTAGTAGCCAAATGTGTAGATTCAGCCAGTGCATGATGAGCAATGTACCAGTCATACATGAGAGTTATTTCCCTCACCTGCCTCTCTTTTTCAACTTCCAAACTGCAAAATGCAATGCAGAGATAGAACTACGTACTATTTCTTTTCCTCTAGTATCTGTACTAGTAATATAATTTAGGCGGTGAATTAACATTTTTTCCACAATCAACATTCTTTTTTCCTTGCCCCCCCCCCCCAACAAAAAAAAGGAAATTTTCTTTGTTTGCTAACATTCAATCTTGAACTTTACACTACTTTACACTAAAATGCAGAAAAAGTAATAAATCTGTACTTCTTCCGCTTTAGAATTATTTAGCCCTTCTTCTTAGTAGCTATGCTGGTGAAGATTCGAGAGTATTATATGAGGCGACGACGTCTCTCTTCTGTAATTTGCAATTTTGGCAGCAATGGAAGTGCAATTTTCTCTCAAACAAAAAAAAAATGGAGATGGAAATTCAATAGTCATTGACATTGTCCAATAATTACCGATTAAGAAGGGAAAAGGGTATTAAAAAAAAAAAAAGGAAAATGGTGTAGATGATAAATCATTCCATTTTTTTTTGGCAAAACGCTTAGCTGCATCCAAGAATTCCATGACCAAATAACTGAAGGAAACCCAATCTACATATTCATTTTATTTAAAATTTGCCCTTTCTATCCAAATCCAAAAAAAAAAAGTAAAAAAAATTGCACGAGAGAGTTTGAAAACATTAATTTGATTTATTTACCTTTAAATTACACAAAACTTTAAATTGGTTTAACTGTGCATCTTCTGTATTGAGAGGTTAGAACGAAGTGGATGATGCCAATATCGTGATGCATCTTTTCCACCATTTGTAGATTCTAATTCGATATGTTACAAGAAAACTCTTCTTGTTAGTTTGGGTAACTTCTTAAACTAACCTTTCACCCCTCGTTTATTTCAAGCCTTAAATTGATTTTTTAACAATAAAAGGTATCAAAATTTGAATATTCAATTGCCCAAAAAAATATTCAATATGTTTTCACCATTAGAATAGTCAAATTTTGCACTTAGACCAATCAGCTTTAACAATGTGAGAAAGATTGAAGGATCGATATTGATACTTTTTATGATTCAAGGACCAATTAAATATTTGAAACAAATTAGAAAATAAAAGTTGATTATTAAAATAATTCAGGATTAGGTTTTTTTTTTTATCCAATGTCAATGTAGTGAAATTTTAATACTAACAGATGTAGATGTATTTATTGCAAATCATTTCAAATCTAAAATTGAATTATGTGATATATATTTATACCCCGCTTTTATATTTACCGAGAGTGATAGCGCATAAAAAATTACCAATTATT